GCTGAGGGTGTGGGAGGGGCCGCACGGTGGGCTGAGCACGTGGGCTGAGGGTGTGGGGCCGCACGGTGGGCTGAGGGCTTGAGGGTGTGGGAGGGGCTGCACAGTGGGCTGAGCACGTGGGCTGAGGGTGAGGGAGGGGCTGCACAGTGGGCTGAGCACGTGGGCTGAGGGTGTGGGAAGGGCCGCACGGTGGGCTGAGGGTGTGGGAGGGGCCGCACGGTGGGCTGAGCACGTGGGCTGAGGGTGTGGGGCCGCACGGTGGGCTGAGGGCTTGAGGGTGTGGGAGGGGCTGCACAGTGGGCTGAGCACGTGGGCTGAGGGTGTGGGAGGGGCCGCACGGTGGGCTGAGCACGTGGGCTGAGGTGTGGGAGGGGCCGCACAGTGGGCTGAGCACGTGGGCTGAGGATGTGGGACGGGCCGCACGGTGGGCTGAGGGCTGAGGGTGTGGGAGGGGCCGCACGGTGGGCTGAGCACGTGGGCTGAGGATGTGGGAGGGGCCGCACGGTGGGCTGAGCACGTGGGCTGAGGGTGTGGGAAGGGCCGCACGGTGGGCTGAGGGCTTGAGGGTGTGGGAGGGGCTGCACGGTGGGCTGAGCACGTGGGCTGAGGGTGTGGGAGGGGGCCGCACGGTGGGCTGAGGGCTTGAGGGTGTGGGAAGGGGCTGCACAGTGGGCTGAGCACGTGGGCTGAGGGTGTGGGAGGGGCCGCACGGTGGGCTGAGCACGTGGGCTGAGGGTGTGGGAAGGGCCGCACGGTGGGCTGAGGGCTTGAGGGTGTGGGAGGGGCTGCACGGTGGGCTGAGCACGTGGGCTGAGGGTGTGGGAGGGGCCGCACGGTGGGCTGAGGGCTTGAGGGTGTGGAAGGGGCTGCACGGTGGGCTGAGCATGTGGGCTGAGGGTGTGGGAGGGGCCGCACGGTGGGCTGAGCACGTGGGCTGAGGGTGTGGGAAGGGCCGCACGGTGGGCTGAGCACGTGGGCTGAGGGTGTGGGAGGGGCCGCACGGTGGGCTGAGCACGTGGGCTGAGGGTGTGGGAAGGGCCGCACGGTGGGCTGAGGGCTTGAGGGTGTGGGAAGGGCCTCATGGCGGGCTGAGGGCTGAGAGTGTGGGAGGGGCCGCACAGTGGGCTGAGCACGTGGGCTGAGGGCGTGGGAGGGGCCGCACGGCGGGCTGAGAATTAGGGAGCTCTAGGATAGAGCAGTTGACAGTGAGGAGGAGGTGAGGAAACAGAGACGACCTCCGACAGCTCAGCTATGCAAGGAAAGAAGGGGACAGTGGCTGGAAGGTGGGAGACTGGGGAATGTTTTCTTACAGGACTGCTGCAGTTGCGGGGGGGGGGAGGCGGTGGAACGCACTGGAAAGGGAGGGGCAACTGCTGTCAAGGATGAGGATTCGGACTCCAGCAAGGAGGGCACCCCAGAAGCCTGCGGGGCCAGGAGAGTGTCCCCTCAGCTGCAGCCTGCTCTTACCGTGCAAACACAAGCCCGGTGTTGACAAATCCGTTGATTTTTCAAGAATAACTAAGACTCCTGCATTTTTGTTTGATTAGGACTAGAAAGGCACGCCTGCTAGAAAGCACCTGCCATGACAGTTCTGACGGAGAGGAAGGGGGTGGACGCGAGATTCTGAGTGGACCGAATGAGGCGATGCCACAAGGCACAAGGTGCAGGCGCAGTCACCAGAAGCTCTCGGCCCTGCTGTCATGGGATCAGGGTGCTGTCAGCTGCAGGGGCCACCACCCCGCTCCACATTCCCGCCCCTCTCCTGCAAGCGTCTTCCCAAAGAGAACTGAATATTGTTTCTCTGAATCATTGAAAATAGTTATTAAATGTCTTCATAGGCCAAAGAGCCCTTGTTAACAGTAAGCGGACGCATCACTCACCTGCACTAGCTGGTCCAGGCAGCAGCACTTCTGCCTCTGGGCCTCGGGGAGCCTCCCTGGCAGAAAACCCAGAGGCCTCCGACTCTAACCTGCCCACCAGGACACACCCTCTTCCTGCCACAGGGAATGTCTCCTTCTTGACACTAATGGCCTCCTGGAAAACTGGAGGACAAGATGATCGTAGATCAGAAATGAATCAAGAGCTATCCGATACGCGCTTTAGCGGACGACCTCCTCCCTGAGGGCACAAGGTCAAGCACAGATCAGAAATGAATCAAGAGCTATCAGACACGTGTTTTAGAGGATGGTCTCCCCCAGGAGGGCACAAGGTCAAGCACAATGCTTGCTTCAACTCTGCAGAGCAAGTCCGGGTCCGTTCACAGACTCAGCCTCATGTGTTGTACAGACAGTGAAGGGAAGCACAGCCCCGCAGTCTGGCGCTGAAGCGTAAATGTGCTCCGCTCCTCTCAGGCAGATGCAAGTGGGTTTGGGTTCGAGAGCCTGGGCTCACTGATCTGCGCTGAGTCAGATGGTCTGAAGTGAATAAAATGAAGGAAGACACAACTTTGGCTCCTCTGGCCTCTCTCTCCAGCCGTGGCCGCCGGCGTGCGCTGTGTGGTCTCCCTTTCTGTCTGCACGCACTTCTGAGGCTGCTGTGGGCCTGGGTGCATGTGCGGCACTGATGCGTGAATTCTGCTTTGGTGAAGACAGGGAGAAAGACACGCTCTCCATGGTTTTTAGAAAAGAAAATAAAAAGCCTCTCGTCTGTTGAGCCTGGTTTCTGGGTCCCAGGGGCATCTGAGATCACCTGCTTTGTCCCTGGCCCTCCTTCAGTTGAAACTCTAAGACACCACGTTATTTGGCTTTCCATGCTTTTTTTCTTCAGTTCCATGAGCTTCCAATACCTGACTCCAATCAGCTGAGCCTGTTTCTGTTGCCTTCAAACAAAGGATGCTCTGGCACTGACCTAAATTTTTTAAACTGAAAAAGTCTCACTACTTCTCTAATGAAGTTCCCTGCTCCTGGAGGGTGAGAATTGAGTAAAGAGGCCAGCAGAGAAGTCCAACAAGCAATCACTTCTAACCCTAAATGCACTACTGTGCCTGCCACTACTGTTTAAAAAAAAAGAAAACTATAATAGAATTATTCTTGTCTAATACGTAAGTACATCACTCAAAAGCAAGGGGAGAACAAGTTCTTCTGAAGTGACACGGCACTGTTCTGCCATCCCTCAAAATAAAACTCTGAGGATAATAAACTGAAAATTCCAAATTCAATAACCCCCACATTCTACAGCCCACCAATAGCAAACGTCCATGTCTCTTTCCAGATCCGTAGGAGACCTCACCCCCATGGGGACAGCACGGAAGGTGAGGAGCCAGCATGGGAGGGCTGGGCTGGTGCGGAGGTGGTCTCTGGGGAGAGTTTCTCGAGAGTTCCACCAACACCACCAGAGGGAATGGAGGAGATGGAGCAGCATGTGAGCGGTGCCCTGGAAGGTGCATCTGCGGAGATGCGGAGAGTGGATTCCAGGGAAATTCTAGAGGTAAAATTACAGGATAGTGAGAAGTTACTAAGGGACTTCATCAAAATGAAAAACTTTTGCTCTGCAAACACCCACATGGAGAAGAGGAAAAGGTAAGGCACAGACTGGAACAGCAGTTTTACAAACCACATATGTAACAAAGGACTGGATCCAGAATATACGCTGCAACCTCTCAAATCTCAATTGTTAAAAGTACAAACGATCCCATGAGAAAACAGACACAAGCAGACATCTCACCGAAGACGGCAAGCAGATGTCGAAGAAGCCCACAGAAAGCTATTCAGCATCACCAGCCATCGGGAACGTGCACATTAAAACCACCGTGAGGCACGACCCTGCACCAATCAGAAAGGCTAAAATAACAAACGGAAACAATCCCAAATGCTGGTGAGAATACGGAGGAGCTAGACCACGCACACTGTTGATGGGAGGCTGAAATGCTGTAGCCGCCCAGGAAAACAGGCTGCCAGTTTCTTATAAAACTAAACATAAGACAATCATATGGTCCAGCAACTGCCCTTTTAGACATCTGTCCCAGAAAAAAAAAAAAAAACCTAACACACACACACACACACAAACACTTACACAAAACATGAATGAATGCTGTCAGCAGCTTTAATGGCACTGCACTTTTGCAAAATATTATCCGAGGGGAAACTGGGTGGTATGCGTGGGCTGTCTCTGTACTGTGTCCGTACTGTGCCTGTCTCTACTGTGCCTGTCTCTGTACTGTGCCTGTCTCTATACTGTGTCTGTCTCTGTACTGTGTCTGTCTCTGTACTGTGTCTGTCTCTGTACTGTGTCTGTCTCTGCACTGTGTCTGTCTCTGCACTGTGTCTGTCTCTGCACTGTGTCTGTCTCTGTACCGTGCCTGTCTCTGTACCGTGCCTGTCTCTGTACCGTGCCTGTCTCTGTACCGTGCCTGTCTCTGTACCGTGCCTGTCTCTGTACCGTGTCTGTCTCTGTACCGTGCCTGTCTCTGTACCGTGCCTGTCTCTGTACCGTGTCTGTCTCTGTACCGTGTCTGTCTCTGTACCGTGCCTGTCTCTGTACTGTGTCTGTCTCTGTACCGTGCCTGTCTCTGTACCGTGTCTGTCTCTGTACTGTGTCTGTCTCTGTACCGTGTCTATCTCTGTACTGTGTCTGTCTCTGTACTGTGCCTGTCTCTGTACTGTGTCTGTCTATCTCTATACTGTGTCTGTCTCTGCACTGTGTCTGTCTATCTCTATACCGTGTCTGTCTCTGTACTGTGTCTGTCTCTGTACTGTGTCTGTCTATCTCTATACTGTGCCTGTCTCTGTACCGTGTCTGTCTCTGTACCGTGTCTGTCTCTGTACCGTGTCTGTCTCTGTACTGTGTCTGTCTCTGTACCGTGTCTGTCTCTGCACTGTGTCTGTCTCTGTACTGTGTCTGTCTCTGCACTGTGTCTTACAGCAGCATGTGAATCTCCGACCATTACAGTAATATGTTAGAAACAGGCACTCTTCATTTTGCATGATTCTGATATACAGTAGTGTCAGTGCCAGGGTTGAGTTAATTAACACCTGTCCCCCAACCACATGGCTGAAACTTAATTTACCACGGCACATTAAATGTAATTAAGTGCACAGAATACAGAGTGTGCTGCTGGGTTTAGCCCACACATCGCTACGTAAAGAACTGACGCAATGATGACGGGTGACGAATCCCATCACTTCAGCCGACGTCCCTCAGTGGAGGCTCTCTGCACCTGCTACTTGGTTCACACCCACGAGGCCAAGCGTGTACGTCAGCTGCCCTCTTATCTCTTACTGAAACGAAGCAGAAAAAGATCAAAATAAGCCCAAGACAAAAGGAAGGAAGAGCAAAAAAACCAATGAAATTGTAAACAGAAAAACAACAGAGAAAATCAATGAAACGGAAAGTTTGTTCTTTCCCCCCAGCTCTATTGAGATACAATTAACAAAAAAAAATTGTATGTATTTATGGTTTGTAACATAGTGTTTTGACATAACTTGATATGAATGTATTTAATTTGTGAGAAAAACAGTTGATTCTTTGAAAAGATCAGTGAATCTGACAAATTCTAGAAAGACTGAAAAAAACAGTGAAGAAACAAATTGCCACTATCAGGAATAAAGCAGGGAATATCACTAAGGATCCTGCAGACATCAAAAGGGTAATCAAAGGATGCTCATAAACAACTCTCCACACAAATTTTACAACTACATGAAACGGGCCAGTTTCTTGAAAAGCACAAATTACCATAATTCGACCCAACATGAACGAGATCATTGATTATTTCTATACCTATTAAAGAAGTTGAATTTGTAATTAAAAATTGTTGAAAAAGAAATTTACAGGGAAGATTATTCCACTGGAGTCTCCTATCCAAGGTTTACATAGGAATTAACACCAATTTAAAACAATGTTTCCAGGAAAGAGAAGGTAAAGAAACACTTTCCAAATCATTTCAGGAGGCTGGTATGACCAGACACTAGGTAATAGACAAAGACAATAGGGAAAATAAAACAAAGGCCAACAACCTTCAGGAACATAGACACAAAGTATTAGCAAATGGAACTCATCAATACCGGGCACGGTGATGGGGAAGGGAGAGTATTTAAGGGATGTAAGAGCAGCTCTGAGTTTGAAAATCAATCAGCGTAACCCATCACACTGTTAGAGAAGCGACACCATTTCAGTTCAGCTCCATCTGGAGACTAACAAGGCAGCTCCTCACCCGTCACGGTCCATGGTCCTAAGATGCTTGCAGTTGAGGAAACCACCTAAAAATACCTCCAAGGACACACTCCTCCAACAGTGAAGGGTCCAGACATCCCGGTACCCATAACAACATGCGCTTTCCAGATAATAACAGTTAGCTTTGATGTACTCACACGCTAAAATGTCAAGGGTAGTTTCTTTAAATCAATAGAATAATAAATTTGGTTGCGCAGTCTGCTCACCATCACGTAGCCACAGCTTACTCTTTACAAAGACGAGACCCCATATAAGAAAAACTCAAAAGAAAGACAGTGTGGGCCGGGCGCGGTGGCTCACGCCTGTAATCCCAGCACTTTGGGAGGCCGAGACGGGCGGATCACGAGGTCAGGAGATCGAGACCATCCTGGCTAACACGGTGAAACCCCGTCTCTACTAAAAAATACAAAAAACTAGCCAGGCGAGGTGGCGGCGCCTGTGGTCCCAGCTACTCGGGAGGCTGAGGCAGGAGAATGGCGTGAACCCGGGAGGCGGAGCTTGCAGTGAGCTGAGATCCGGCCACCGCACTCCAGCCTGGGTGACAGAGCGAGACTCCGTCTCAAAAAAAAAAAAAAAAAAAGAAAGACGGTGTGTTCCTCTGCTTGCTTTCTGAGAGTGTCCTCCTCTACAATGAAGGAGTTTCTAAGAAGCCTGCTCCTTTCACTTCTTTCACTGGCCTGGAATTCCTTCCTGCACAAGATCCAGGATCCCTCTCTTTGGGTCTGCCCTTTTCGGGTAACAACACTAGTAGATTAAAGAATGAGGATATGATCATACCAACTGATTCAGAAAAAGACCCAGGAGTGGTGTTAGGAACTGTGTCCTCTCAAACTTCGTATGTTGAAACCTAACCCCCAAGGTGATGGTTTTAGGAGGTGGTGCCTTTGGAGGTGAATATGATGGCAGCAGTGACTTTCTGGAACAGGAGCACCTGTGGGAGCAACAGTGGTGGTGGTGGGACCCCTGTGTCCTGTGTCCTCTGAGCACCATTCCCACCCTTGCACGGCCAGGCAGGACCTGCCCCCAGGCTCAGCGCCTCCACTGCTCCGGACCCTGGCCCTGCCTCACCACTCTCGCCCACCCTACTATGAGGAGGAGGCCTACAGTCCCCAGAGTCCACCCCTGGGAGCCCCCCAGAGCCTACTACCCTGGGGACCACTGCAATGGGGACCAGGCCAAGTCACCCTCCTACAGGCGAGCAGCACGGTCAGGCACTAAGGGGCCAGCAGAGAGGGTCCCCAAGGCAAAGCTGGGCTCAGAGTGGTGCTGTGCGTGCACACGCAGCGTGCCGGGGCTGGGCCCAGGGCGTGAGCTGGGGCTGCACTTTGGGGGCCTGGAGTGGGAAGTGGGAGCGGCACCCATGTCAGGGACCCAGCCAGTGGCATGGCCACAATGCTCACCCTGCCAAAGGTGCTGGATTCCTGCATCTTGGGAGGCAGCTCTGTGCAGGCCACCCAGGGCTGTTTCCCAGGGGTCCAACCCACATCAGGGGGGCTGCCAAGCCGGATGCCCCCAAAAGGCTGGGCCCAGGGTCCATGATCCACTCCTGAAGACGCCCCTTCCCAGGCAGAACCACAAGTCACGCAATGGGGAGCCCCTGGCCACCCCTGAACACTGGGGCCATGGGAAGAGCTCACAGCCACATGCTCCTGCCCTGAACCAGAGAGAACCTGGAGCTACCACCTCAGGCCTCAAGGGAGCACAGCCGGGGCTGCACGCTCCACAGAGCCAGGAGAGCCGGGGACAAACGGGGAGCCCCTGGGTGCAGCTGCAGCTGTCCTGCCACCACCACAGACCCAGGCATTTCTGCACTCGCAGGGGCCTAGGTAGGTCCCCTGCCCCGCTGTGGGATGGAGGTCACCTGCTCCAGCTGCTTGATTTCTCCTCACTGTCAGCACCTGCTCCAATCTCAGAGCAAGGTCGGGGCTGAGCTGGGCACTGTCACAGCCGAGCTAGGTGTGCACATGCTAGGGGAAGCACTGACACACCAGCCCCTGTTGCCCTGCACCCCTCCAAACTTTGGGTGCCAACAAGAGCAGCGGGGAAGCCAAGTCGGGGGCTGCTCGGCCCTGGCTTGCACGTGCTCCTTGACGTCAGCAGCCTGGGTACCATGGACAGCGACCAGAGGCAGAAGACTCCTGGGAGGAAGGGGCCCCTGGTGAGGGCCTGAAGGCTGGGGGCCGGGCTGCCAGTCCCATGGACCCAAGCGGGAACTTGTGGTGCCTCTTCCAGGCCAGCCCATGGCTGCCCATGGACCAACTGGTACACGCTCGCTCCTCTCTCTGAGGCCCATAAAAGCCCCAGGCTCAGCCAGAGCAGAGCAGGCAAAGGGACGACCAACTGCAGACAGGAGCTGCCTCCCTGCTGACAGCTGAACACTCATCGGGACACCCCGGCTGTGGAAAGGAGCTGCCCCTGTGGGTCTCTTCTAAGCTGTTCTATTGCTCATTAAACCTCCTCTTTGTCTCGCTCACCCTCCACTTGTCTGCATACCTCATTCTTCCTGGTCACAGAACAAGAACTCAGGACCCGCCGAAAGGCGAGGCTAAAAGAGCTGTAACACACACAGGGCTAAAACATGCCCCTTGCTTGCCACATTGCGGGCAAACAGGAGAGAAAAGCTACAGCCCTCAGGGACCCCAACCTGGGAGCTCCCCACATCAGGGCTATGACGCCCTCTTTGGGGCCCTGTGGTTCTTGGTGTCTCCAAGCTGCCAGTCACCACCACATTCCCCCGTGCCAGCCAGGGAAGCTGCTTGTGGTGTGCCTGGTCCAGCCGCAGCTTCACAGAGAGCTAGCCCCCATGCCAGCACCTGAAGCTGCCTGCCCCGCAGCAGCAGCCCACATGTCTGACTGCACAGTGGCCAGACCCCACACTCACTCACACACCCCTCACTGCTCCATGCCTGACTCGAAGTCTCCCTTGGAGGCCTGGGATCCAGGCCGGGAGTGTGAGCCAAGTGCCGTCTGCCAGGCTGAGTGGGTGGAACGAGCCCAGCAGGCCCCAAAACAACTCAGGCAAAGGCACTACCAGCCACAGGTTTCTGGCCAGAAAAGTGACACCCCTAAGATCTCGTGACAATTAGATCATGAGCACTGAGCCCTCATGATGGGATGAGCAACCTCCTGAAAGAAGCATCGTAAAGCTCCTCGTCCCTTCCTCCTCGGGAGGACATAGCGAGATGGCACCGTCTATGACCTGGGAAGGGTGGGCCCTCGCCAGATACCAAAGCCCTTCATCTTGGACTCTCCAGCCTCCAGAACAGTGAAAAATAAGTGCTTGGTGTTTAAGTCATCCAGGCTATGGTATTTTTGTTATATTAGCCCAAACTGACAAAATGAATACAATGGAATGGAATGAAACGGAACAGGACGGGATGGGACGGGACGGAACGGAACAGAACGGAACGGAACGGAAACGACCCTTGCAGCATACTTCTGTGATATCACTTCTATCCATGGCATATGTTGGGATTCTCTTTAACAACTATCTCGGTAAGATCACAACCTTAAAGTCAACAAGCATTTCGTGAACATGTTTGGCTCTGTGAGTTGCTTTTTCAATAAGTGCAACAATAGTCACACGATTTCTGTGAGTATAATTACTCCCTCAATCAGGCAGGAAGAAACTTTTAAATTTTTATTTATTTATTTATTTATTTTTAGAGACAGGGTCTCGCTCTGTCACCCAGGCTAGAGTGTGGTGGTGTCACCACAGCTCACTGCAGCCTCAAACTCCTGGACTCAAGTGGCCCTCCTGCCTCAGCCTCCCAAATAGCTGGGACTACAGGTGAACACCACCACACTTGGCTAATTTCATCTTTAGTATAGATGGGGTCTCACTATGCTGCCCAGGCTGGTTTTGAACTCCTGGACTCAAGCAATCCTCCTGCCTCAGCCTCCCAAAGTGCTGGGATTACAGGCGTGAGCCGTCCAGCCCAGAAGGAAACTCTTCTAAAGTGAGTAGGTCGTGCACATCCACATTACCAGTAACGTGGTCATTCTCATTCATGGAAAAATAAAAATTCAACGTGGAAAAGAAGTGGAGTTACGATGCAGCAGAGCAAACCTAAGCTCTCACACGTGTTTCTCTAGGGAAAAGGCGTTGCTTCATTCACCATCAGGGATTACACAAAAAAACTGAGAATTAAACTATTTACCCCCACTTCCCAAAAAAGCCCTCTCCTCTAACCACACGCTTTCTATTCAGAGGAACACTCCCAGTTGCTGCACAAACCATATGAAAGCTTCAGTCTGGCTTCAGATGCTTTTTACTGAATGCCAATACCCTGAGACCAGCCCTTATCACCAATTGCGGGGCTTCTGTGCCACAGATCGAGAAGATGAAAGACCTCCTGGGGGAGAAGAACAACAGTTCAGGCCAGCAGCACCACCATCAAAAATTCTTTCTAAGATCACATGGAAAACAGGCTCAAAGAGAAACTCACCTACGTGTGCGTGAGATGGCTGGTGATAAGGGAAGCACCTCATAAATTCTGGAAGAGCTGGTTGGTGGTGATTCCTTCAGAGAAACACGGTAACTGGTTGCAAGCACTACATAGCCGCTCCAATTCACTGCCTCAGCAATCCTTGGAAATAAAAGGGAAATTATTACAAAATGGCAAAGGAGGGCACTCAGCTAGAAACTGGGTTTGGAATTTAATATTAAAGTTCAAATTATTGAGAGAGTGATCTCTTCTGGGTGAAACGTTCAGTGCTGTTATTGAATACCTACTCCACTTAAGCCTCTATTCTGGCACCTGTAGGGGATACCAAGAGGCTGAATTATAATACTTGACCACAAATAACAGACACTCTAAGTTGAGGCCCAGCAGGAAGGCACAGGCAGCTGTCAGGGAACAGAAAGGGTCAAAGCAATGGGGAACAGAATCTAAGCAAAGGAGCAGGCTTCCAGGAAGCACACAGGGACACCCCACGGAGAGAGCACTGGGGCCCCTGGCCACTGGTTCACTGGGGGACTGGACTCAGCCAGGACAGTAGCAGAGTCCAGAGCCCCTGAACAGGCAAAGCCCCTCATCCAGCCCAAAGCCAGGCTGTTTAGCAAACACTCCTAATGATTAAATATTGTAAAACCATCCTTTGGAGTTACCCAAGCCAATATAAAGTAAGCTAATGAGTTGTCTGGATTCAGGAAGGTGTCCTTACCCTCCACCCCCAGGGCAGATTCACATGCTTAAAATGTACATTCCCAGGCCCTCACATTCCCCTTCTGTAGGTCCGGAGGGGGGCTGGATGCTGCACTATTTTCGCAGGTGCTTCTGATGACAGCATACTGAGGACACACTTTGAGAAATGCTAGCCCAGAGCCACCCCTGCAGGAATAGGTAGGACAACCTGTGGTCACATCTGCAGGCATCAACTGGTTCCTGAGGGCTGGAAAGTGAGCACTGCGGTGTCACAGTGGGTGTGTCACAGGGAGGACCCTGGAGGGGGGGATGAGAGAGGCAAGACTGGCCTCGCCTGGGGAGATGAGCTGCCGCCAAAACCAATTCAGGTGAAGCAAGCCAGCTTATGTTCCCCGATGGTCTCCTGCAGGAGATGTGAGCACTGACACTTGCTATATAAACTTAGAACAGAAGGGCCGTGGAGTACCAGATTGTCTCACGATACCTTGGAAAAGCAGGTTTAGACCAAGTCGACCCCAGCTGACACTAGGAACCCGATTCTGCCCCACTGATTCCAGAGACACTTGAAGGAGCTGCTGCTTCTCAATTCCTACCCTTGTAGTCACACAACATGAACTTGGCTCCCAAGTTCCCAGGAAATGTTTACCGGATCCTGAGTGCACACCATGACCAAACATACCTGCCGTGATTCTAACCAATGCCTTTTCTCCAAAATGTGGCTTTGCATGAAGAATACATTACGAAAATGGAGAGACTGATCTCAGCCAATGATGTGTGAGGTGCCTGTGTCAGGGTTGGGGTAAGGAACTCTGACCAATAGCCGTTTTTTCTCAGTTAATCTCCTCCCCTCTCTCTACCTGCCCCTGCCCCCTGCACACCTGGGGCTCAGAGGATGCTGAAGACAGTTCCTCCCCACTGGGAGGAGGAGCCCTGGACAATCATCTTGGGCTCACTGCAGGCTGCTGCCTGGAGACACACACATGACGGTGTTGACCACTTCAGTCAAGCCCAGCACAACAGGACTGCCCTGAATAACAACTACAAAAGACTGAAAATCACACTTGCTTCAGAATCACAACAGCTGGATGCACTGAATGCATGAAAATAAATTTAAAGGTTTTGTCCACATCCCGCTGAAGCAAACAAAAAGAACGAACAGCGGAATTTATTATGCGTGTGGTGTTTACCGCGGGTCAGGCTCTGCGCTCCCAACGACCAGATGACGCGGGGGATGTCTGCACCACTTTCTCAGGTCAGGAGGGGGCCACAGAGGAGTCACACAGCGCAGTTACCAGGACCATGCGGCTCCACGGCCTCTACACTTGGGTACTGGGGACCAAAGGGTTCAATCAGGACCTGATCCCAGCTCCAGTCCAACCTTGGAAGCCAAGTGTTGGGAAGGAGGCATCAGAGGAAAGACGGAGCCAGGGCCCCTGGGTCACTGCAGGAGGACACCCCGCTGAGGGGCCGGTCTATTTTCTCCTGCAGCAGCCCGGGGGCCGGAGCTGCCAACACCAGGGAGACGCGTTTTCTGCACTGACTCCTCTGCTCCCACGTGGACATCCCTAGCATTTCTGTCTCCACCCGCTTTGCACGCACCCCGCCCCCGCCAGATACCCCCAAACCCACACAGGGTCCAGGGGCACCGCCCTGGCCTTGGCTGTGGCTGTTGCACTCGCCTGTCTGGCCTTGGCCCCGAGTCCTGCCAGCTCGGCTCTGTCCCCGCCCCACTCCCGGGCTCTGCCAGCCCTGCCTCTCCCACCACACACAGCTCAGGGGCCTGCAGCTTGCACAGGGATACCTTCTAGGACGCGGACTTCCGGAAGATTCTTTCCCAGCCAACACTGCCCCACCCTTCCGGTGGGAACCCCCAAGTGTACAGACAGGAGAGGAGCTTCCTTATGATTGGCTGAGCCATCCAGCCAATCCCACTCCCCTTGGTTAGTGATTGGTCCAGGGATGGTCATATGACTCAGCTAAGCCCAATGAGATGCGAGGGGCTATCTGCAAGGGGAACCATGAGAACAATGTACCCTGGTAAGGAGGAAGGCCCGGCCCACCGCTTTTTCTTCTGCTGGCCATTGTGGGTGGGGGCAGGTGCTGGGGGGCAGGTGCTGGGGGCCTGCAGCTGGGTGGAAACGGTGTGGCTTTACCTGGGACCGAGACAGTTCCCCCAGGTGGTACTTCCAGTGCTAAAACCATAATTCCAGACAGACCTGCAAATGGGCCCCGGGCAGGAGGCAGAGGCTGGTAGCAAGCGAGAGCCTGCCCCACCCCCAAGGACTGGATTCAGGCCTCCCTGGAGTCACCTGCTTCTGGGCTTCTTGTCAGGCAGAGTGAGCAAATGACCTAAGCCTGTTTTAAGCATATTGTCCCGTTACTTGCAGCCAGAAGCATCTAAGACCTTATGACTTATGATCTAACGATCCCCTTGTCACAGGTGTTAAAACAGGTTTGCAGAGATAAATAACTTGGCCGAGGATACAGACCTGGGAGTGATGGAGCTGGGAGTTAAACCCAAGGCTTTCTGACTCCAGAACCACTGGACTCCCTCAGCTCCATGCACGGCCCTTTGCAGCACTTCTCAGTGTCCTGCCTTTGGCCTCAACCCTGAACTTCTTGAGCCTCTTCAAAGCAGGAAGTGGTGCTTGGTCGTCCTGAACCCCCAGAACCTAGCACGTTCTATGTCTAAATGAGTGAATGAAACCTGAGCAGTCTAACTAGCTTCCCTGGCCTCACGGAGGGAGGTTTATGAGTGCCTCTCACCACGCTGGGCCTATTGAACGCATGGTTCGTCATGTGTCTCTTTGGATCCATCTTCAGCAAGGAAAACAGGAGAGAAAACCCTTAAAAAGTGTTCATTTGTGTGGCAGACACTGATCTATGACTTTTACACTTAGGGACCCATTTGATCATCACAATAGGCAGATGACATTTGGGATTGGAATGCATCTAGACTGGGCTAGGAAAGGTGCAGGGAATATGCTCCCCTGGGGATGTCAGTGTTAATAGAACTCTCTCCTGAGTCCCCCAATAATCGAACATCACCTTCACCAAGTGCAGGGACTGAACTGCGTGCATGATTGAGTAGCAGAAGCTTCCTGAAATGCTGCATTGCGGAGAGGGCACTGAGGCTCTGTGTCCTTGAGCCGAGATGTCCCAATGACAAGGGTTTGCTGTGACAGTTACACAAACCAGAAACAATGGCACCTCTTCCCAGTGTTATTAAAACAGTAAACTATCAGGAAAGGATTTGAGACTTTCCATAACACAAATACAGGTGACATCTTGGTCACAAAGTGACAATTCTCCAAATGCTAGGCAATAAAATACAGTAGATTGATATCCGGTTTTCTTTTAAGGACACTATATTTTGCTCTTATGTCACTTCTGTGAAAGGAAATGAAATCTGTTTTTCTCAGTGGAAGCTGGAAAATGAGAATGTCAAAGGCTATAATGGACACATGCTGCCTCTCCCTGCCAGAGGCTGTTCCCTCTTCTGAGACTATTATCTCTGGTCCCTCTCTGAGGAGTCCCCTTTCCTCCACATCTTTGGGATGAGCCTGACTGCAGGACCATGTCAGAGGTGGATTTTGAACCAGGCTCACACCAACCAGCATCTACATTTCATCCCACCCCTTCCTCCCCGGTCAAGGTGACTGGCTCATGGAAGACACACGGGCAGTTACTGACAAAGCTGGACCCCCAAAAGATGGGGCCTTTCCCTGTTAGTATTGGGTGTCACTAACCCAATAGATGAAACTGAAAGTGTCAAGTAGTACAGGTGTTATTCGATGGCCATGGAATTGACAAACGGAAGCATCACTCACAGGTCAACTTCTTGACAAGTGAGGAATGAAGGGGTTAAAATATAGGGTTTCTCTAATGAAGGGGTTGGACATTAAAAGCCAGAGGAAGGCTGGGCGCGGTGGCTCATGCCTGTAATCCCAGCACTTTGGGAGGCCGAGGTGGGCGGATCATGAGGTCAGGAGTTCGAGACCAGCCTGGCCAACATAGTGAAACCCCATCTCTACTAAAAATACAAATAAATAAATAAATAAATAGCTGGCTATGGTGGCACATGCCTATAGTCCCAGCTACTCAGGAGGCCAAGGTGGGAAAATCACTTGAACCCAGGAGGCAGAGGTTTCAATGAGCCAAGACCATGCCATTGCACTCCAGCCTAGATAACAGAGTGAGACTCCATCTCAAAAAAAAATAAATAAGCGAGAAGAGGAATATTCTTTTCCAAAAATGGGCAGGGAACGTCCCAGAATGAGAGTGCCACCTTCTTTTTGTGCTTTTATGGTTTCTTCTGGTCACTATCATGGCGATTGTCAACTGTCATGATACTGGTGGGCATATCATTGAACATGGAAATGAGATGATAATGAAGCCTGAGGTCTTTTTGAAGTTGTTTGGCTGGCTATCTTTGTTCTAACCAGTCTCAGCTGGTCTGGTTACAAAGGTAAATTTTTATCGATGGTGTCCTGTTTCTTAAAGATAAGCAGAGTTAGGGCAGTGTGGAAATTCATCTACATCACATAGGCATTACACCACGTAACAGACCACTTTAGCCAGTAAAGCTGAGGCCCAGCCCTTCGTAGCAGCAATTGGAGAAGCTCTCTACGTCCTGCTGAGGCTGCTGAGAAGCAAGGATAGAAGCCAGGAGCACCTAGCAGGCCTCTCAGCTCCACAGAGGAGATCACCGCCCCCACCCAACATAGTACTGCTTAGAGGAAGGAAGGAGAATTCTCTGGTGATGTCATTTGAGCCCTTGGAGGAAGCCATGCCAAAAGCAACCTCTTCCTTTTGCACCTAAGTCATTTTTCAGATAGGTTTCCTGTCACTAGAAACCAAGAGTCGTGACTCAAGGTCAGAACCTGAGCAAGGGCGAGCCAGGTCTGGAACCCAGGCCTCCTTCCACCTCCTGGCCTGAACTTCCCCTGTTCTTCTGAATGTCAGAACAGCAGGCTTTTTGGCAGGTTAATGCATGTGGAAATTAAGAAGCAGTATCAGGGTTTTTTAAATATATGCATTTATCGCTGGTGAAATTAAAACGGAACTGTCGGAGCAGAGAGGCCTAATTAACAGAACCACAGCTGCACTGAGTCCTGGGCTGCTCTGCTGGGGCCTGGCATGCAGCCTCCCGTTGTATTTTCGTAGACCCCATGGTGGGGCCGGACAGCCTCCTTACTGCCATTGGGGGAACTGAAACCTGGAGAACCGACAACTGACTTCCCAAGTCCCATCGCTCTTCCTGGCAGGACAAGGATTTGAACCCAGGGCCACCTGCCCCAGGCCACTGCTAGGAACAGCCATTGGTACTGAACAGGAAGAGGCGTCCTTTGGGCTCTCCAAGGACCCATCAGAGGGTCTGGAATTCAGGAGGCTCCAGGTAGATGTTTGTGGATCAAACGAGGTAATAAACCTAGAATGTTTGCCACCCAGAGCCTTCCGTCATCATCTGTCACACACACCCTGAGACCCTGCCACCCCCAGGAGGATATTCATCCTGGTGTCTCAGGTAGGTTGTTGGTTTCTCCATTAGGGAACAGGTGTTCCAGTAAAATGACTGTTTAATGAAGTTCATTAGGACGCAGCTCTTGCCTGCAGTCCTGATGGCTATAACAGGAGAGCGGGAAGATGAGAAATGCTGGGAAAGGGGGGAAGATACCAGGGTGCCCCCCAGGAATGTAGCCAGCAGATGTGCCCCAGCCCTTCATCCCTTACTGACCAGCAGCAGCTGTGAAGTACATGGTGCCCTCATCCAGAGGTAGGGCCATCCCTGGATGTTGAACTCATCCAAAGCTCTGTTATCATAATGCTGGGTCCGGTCCTGCTCAGTTCCCATCACAAGATTGACATCAGGATCCCCATAGGCATGAGACGCTTTCCCTCTTGTGTCACAGGTGCTCAGGGTCCCATTGGCATAGACTCTCAGACCCGTCTTGGGTGTCCACATGGCCTGTAAATGAATCCAGTAGGAGCCTGGGAAATCACAAAGATCACTATTCTGAGTGCTGTGGGAATGAGCCCACGGAATCTGGTGTTTCTGCCCTTTAAGCACGTTCCCCTTTCTGAAGAGGATGGGTCACGGTTGACCTTGTTGAGTCCTAATGTAGGTCACGTTACAGGCCAGACTTTTCCCTAACCTTTGTGCACAGGAGAGACATTGCCCTTTACCCACATCCCACAGTCTCAAAAGCAGTTCAGACAGTCCTGGCTATTCTAACACAGAGGCACAAACTCAAACACCAACAAGCAAAGGTGATGATCAAAATATCTGAGAACTGGCAGGGCACAGGTACTGGCCAGTCAGGCTGGAACCAACACATCCGTGCTCCCATGCCCAGAACCTGGAATGCAGGGAGGAGGCAGAAGTCAACACGAGGATGTGGTCTCCATGGTGACAGTGATGCTGACGAGCACCTGAGGACCCTGGGGGCAGCCAGAGTTCAGCCCGGCTGCTGTCATCAGGGGAGAGTAAACCCTGCACACCAAGCAGTACTATTCCCAACAGAAGCTCAAAAATTCTGATTCTTATGTGGGATTTCCTAGTTGGGAGTGTTCACCACTAATTCAAATGTATGAAACAAACAGCCAATGCACAGGTTGAGGCCGTGCAGGACAGTAAAACCCGTCTCTGAGCAGCCCCTGCTCTGTGTGACGTATGTTCGATGAGCCTTATGTGGAGAGGCCAGGAAGGGCAAGGCCAGGCTCAGCCTCACTGGGGACTCTCCATCAGTGAGCTTGGCTGTTACTCTTCTGTCCACCCAGAGCGCTGTGCTCATCAACAGAGAAATGAATGATCATCCGACTTCCATGGCAGCTTCCGCCATGAAGGACCCCCTGGATTTTGTGAGCTTTTATGTGC